TTTTATTACATTCATCAGACTTTTGTAGTTTTCCTTATGTAGATCTTGTATATATTCTGTTAGATTTATACCTAAATATTTCCGTTTTAGGGGTGCTCATGTAGGTGGTATTGTATTTTAAATTTCAGATTCCACTTTCTCTTTGTTAATATGCAGAAAAGCAATTTACTTGTATCCTGCAACCTTGCTGTATCCTACAGTCTTGCTGTAATTACATACTAGTTTCAGGAGTTTGTTGTTGTTGTTGTTGATTCTTTTAGATTTTCTACATAGATGATCATTTCATCTGTGAACAAAGACAATTTTATGTCTTCCTTCCCAATCTGTATAACTTTGATTTCCTTTTTCTTGCCTTATTGCATTGGCAAGGACTTATAGTATGATTTTGAAGATTTCTAGAGGGGACATCATTGCCTTGTTACTGGTCTTAGTGTGAAAAGTTGGAATTTCTCACTGTACAGTATTTTAGCTGTAGTTTTTTGTAGACAGCCTTTATTTATTTATTTATTTATTTATTTATTTATTTATTTATTTATTTATTTAGAGACAGAGACAGTGTGTGTGTGAGGGGTGTGGAGGGGCAGAGGGAAAGAGAATCTCGAGCAGACTCCATGCCCAGCATGGAGCCCGACATGGGGTTCTACCTCACAACCCTGAGATCATGACCTGGGCCAAAATCAAGAGTCTGATGCTTAACTGACTGAGCCACCTAGGCACCCCATAGACAGCCTTTATTAAGTAGAGACAGTTCCCCTATCTTACTAGTTTACTAAAAATTTTTATCATGAATGGGTGTTGGATTTTGTTAAATGCTTTTTCTGCATCTGTTGATATGATCATGTAATTTTTCTTTTTAGTCTGTTGATATGATGGATTATCTTAATTGATTTTTGAATGTTGAAGCAGCCTTGCATACTTGAGACAAATCCCTCTTGGTCATGATGTATATTCTTTTTATACTCTTTAAGAATTCATTTGCTAATATTTTGTTGAGGATTTTTGCATCTGTGTTCATGAGAGAGATTGGTCTGTTGTTTTCTTGTAATATCTTTGTCTAGTTTTAATATTAGGGTAATGCTGGTCTCACAGAATGAGGTAGGAAGTATTTCCTCTGCCTCTATCCTCTGAAAGACATTGCAGAGAATTGGTATAATTGTTTCCTTAAATATTTGGTAGAATTCACCCCATCCTGTGAACCCATCCTGGCGTGGTGCTTTCTGTTTTAGAAGACTATTGATTATCGATTTGATTTCTTTCCTAGGTAGAAGTCTATTCAGATCATCTGTTTCTTCTTGTGTGAGTTTTGGCAGATGACGTCTTTCCAGGAATTGATCTATTTCATCTAGAGTTGTTAATAGCATTTTTTCATTGTCCTTTGAATTTCCAGAGGATCTATAGTGATATCCTCTCTTTCATTTCTGATATTAGTCTTTTGTGTTTTCTCTTTTTTTCTTAGTATCAATTTTATTGATCTTTTTAAAGAACCAGCTTTTGGTTTCATTGATTTTTTTATTGATTTCCTGTTTTCAATTTCAGTGATTTCTGCTCTAATTCTTATTTCTTCTGCTTATTTTGCATTTATTTTGCTCTTTTTCTAGTTTCCTAAGGCCCACTGCCTTTTTTATAGGCATTTACTATTAAGTTATGACCTATGCTGAAAGGAATGGTTCCAAATCTTCTACTTCTGTAATTGACTCTAACATGAATGGCATATACTCCCTATATTATGTTGAAGTGTTAGTATCTGCCTTCATGTTTAGAAACACTCAAAATCATATTAGGTATTTCAAAAAAAATTATTGGTATCCCTGAGCCAAAACCAAGTTTGTGCAGTATGTAAGATACTTATGAGTTGTTGTTTTTCCCTGATCTTCTTTAGGGACAGAAATATTTATTTCTGAAGAAATGTACACTCGGAGAACTAATAATGGGCAAGCACAATCCATCATGACCCATATAAGACTTTTCCTCCCTAAGTATTGTCTTTTAACTGTTAATATGTAGCATCTATTTCTGTTGAAGTTAGAAATCTATGAATTGAAATAGCAAAAAGAGCAAACTCCTGTAGTAAACAGGTGGCCTGGGTTCTAGACTACCTGCATGAGGGGTGAGGGTGGAGAGATTGTGTTAGGGAAAGACTATTTATTACTCAGCTGCTTAAGAAAGAAAAGTATGTGCGGCGCCTGGGTAGCTCAGTCGATTAAGCATCTGACTTTTGATTTTGGCTCAGGTCATGATCTTGGGGTCGTGGGACTGAGCCCCACGTTGGGCGCGTGCTAGGTGTGGAGCCTGCTTGGGATTCTCTCTCTCCCTCTCCTTCTGCCCTTTACCATCCTCTCCCTCTCAGAAAAAAAAAGGAACTAAAAGTATGTGGACTCACTGACCTTTAAAGGTGCCTTACAATCTAAATTTTCTGTGCCTGTGTGCTCTTGGGTCTTCTAAGCTCCCATAGCAATCTGTTTTGTTTTGGTTTTTTAATTTTTTTTTTTTAGATTTTTATTCATTCATTTAAGACAGATAGAGAGAGCGAGCATGAATAGGGGAGAGGCAGAGGGTGAGGGAGAAGTAGGCTCCCCGCTGAGCCAGGAGCCAAACATGGGGCTCAATCCCAGGACCCTGGGATCATGACCTGAGCTGAAGGCAGACGCTTAACCATCTGAGCCACCCAGGCGCCCCAGCAATCTGTATTTTTTTAAAAATAATTTGTTGTATACTTGTAATTATTTATTCCATATTGGTCTTCCCCACTGGGCAATAAACTCTGTGAGGGCAGGAATCATGTCTGTTTATTCATTGCCAGGTACCTGGAAGGCACTTAATAAGTATTTCTGGATGAATTAACGAATGAAGGGTTTTCTACCATGCAGACATTCTTACTCTTTAAAGTACCAGAGGCCCATTGATACATTCATAGAATCAGCAGACATGTACTGCTAGGCACTGACCTGAGGTGAATTGCCCCTGGCAAACACTAAACTACTTTCTTTCTCTGTGGATTTGCCTGTTCCAGTTTTGGGCAAGTTATTTAACCTTTCTGTGCCTCGGTTTTCTCATCACAAAGTGGGGGCAGTAATACCTACCTCATCAGGTTGTTCAAAGTGTGATATGGGAGCAGGAAGAGTTAATTTAAAGGCTTTAGAATTGTGTCTGAAACAGAGTAAATGCTTTATTGTTTGTTATGTTTAACATTATTGTGATCATTATTTTGTTCCCTTTATAGCACCTAGCATAGGACTAAACACATGTCAGGCACATTCATCCAATTTCCTAAGGCCCCTACTATGTGCCAGGCACTGTTTTAGGAGATGTCGAATATGGATGAAAATACTGTCCCTGCTCTCAAGCTCATGGCAGAGATAGATATATAAAAAGTATATAAATACACAAATACATATACATACAAGTGTGTGTGTGTGTGTGTATGTGTATGGAGATATATAAGAATAATAAAGTGGGGTTAGTGCTATATTAATAGTAAATATAGTATGATATGGGAGCAGAAAGGAAGGAGAAATTCACATTGAATGACTGCAGTGTGCTTCACATTTATCTCATTTAATTCTCAGGCCAGCTCTGTGAGTTGGAGATTCTTAGTCACACTGTTTATTATGGATGCAGAAACTAATGCTCAGTGTTAAATAACTTCCCCACAGTTGGGTAGATGGTAAGTAGTTGCTGGGATTTAAACCTGAATCTGACCAATTGCAAAAACTGTTTGTACTATTTCTGATGCTTACAAAAAAAATTTGTTGCTATTTCTCTGAAATTGGTAAGTTCTACAAAGCAAAAACTATGTTTTTGGCTGAAAGAACTTGAGATTTGGTACATATTTTGAAAAATTCAACATCTGGAGTCCTGCTCTTCTGTTCCTTCCATTACCTGCTCTGGCAGGAAAAAACTTGATGACTGGGAAGGCTGTAGATGTGGCCTCAGCTTTGGGCAGGATGGGCTGTGCCCCATTTGACTTTATCCTTTGTTTATCCTGCGAGGCTTGTGACTGGTACCTCCTCTCTAGGCAGCAAGGCTTCTTTGTGTGGGCTGGGACCTTGGGACCTGAATGAAGAGTTCATGCAGAGCTTCCTGTGAATGAGAAGTGTTCCTTTGATTAGCTGTGACCTCCTAGCAGCAGATACTTTCATCATTTGGCTTCAACTTTCTCACCTCCCCTTTGAGGTTCCATTGGGTCTGCCAATCACAAAGCAGCTTCCATTGAATCCAGCAGTTTGTTTCTGGTTACATTAGGCATTATCTGTACTGCCCTTTTGGCTCACCTCATGAATGTTGAATTTCCCACAGAATATCTAAGCTGGGAGGGCCCTAAAAATCCCTGATTAATTCCTGCTCATTTTGCAGAGCAAGAAAGCTGAGACCCAATAAAGGGAAGATATTTACCCAGATTCCACAGATTTTGTGGCACAGGTGAGACCAGGGCTCTAATGCTTTAACTCCAGGCCAATTTTTCCCCCTATCAGATTCTCCTACCTTCTGTTTTCTCAGTCACATAGAATCATAAGCTCTTATGGCAGAGATCATGCCTTTTATACCTTTATATTCCTCAGAGAACCCAAGTTAATTAGGTATACTCAGATTTGTTATTATCTGATTTTACCTATGGAGAATGCATTGTCTAGTAGAAAGACATAGGTAGGCCTGGAAGGGGATCTTGGCTAGGAATCAGTGGAGCTGGGATTCTAACTCAGATAATTCTGAGTCCAAGTTGTGCAGTCTTTTTTCTAGTAAACTATAAATAGATTGGTATGCTTTTGACAGGGGAAAAATGATCCAGACAGAGCCAAACCCCAGAGGCAGCGAGTGTTGGCTGCACTTGAAGAGAAGCAACTAGACTGATGTGGCCAGAGCACAGGTTGGATTAAGTGAAGGGACATGGGAGGAAGGCAGCAAGAAACATTGAGGAGAAAAGGTGCAAAAGGTTTGGAGCTGGACAGATCACTTTATTTTATTTATTTATTTATTTATTTTTCAGTTTCTCAGTCATTCAGAATTTTGTGTTAGCTGAATCAATAAGCACTGTACAAAACAATGTAAAAGTGGCTGTCATTTTCTCTCCCCTGCTTCCCCCACCTGGGGACAATCCCCTGGGCACTTAGGGGTTCTGCACATTTGGTTCAGCAAATGAGATTGAGTGACACTATAGCCCGGTGAATAGGACAGGTCTCTTTAATGTGTACTTTTTAAAGAAAGCCTCCTGGAGTTGGGAGCCTTGGGCTGGGCCTGAAGATGGTTAGGATTTGAATCTACGGGGAGGGCACAGGATTTGTGGAGGAACGTGAACATACACCTCTCTTCCTCTTTAAACAAAGTTGGAAAACCAAGCCCCTGTGTAATTTGCCTAAAGCATTGTTGAGGAGAGGGGACTGCTGGAGAGTGGAGGTTGGGGCTAGGTTTTAGAAAGCAGAGAATTCTAGATTTGAAGATTTACTTTTTATTTCTATTAATATCACTGTAGATGTGCTCCCTCTTCAACGATGAGTTGTGGGAACCCTGGATAGCAACTGGGTAATGAGCTCTGTCTTATTACTCTTTACAAACTGGGACTTTGTTTTAGACATTTCACTTTGGATAAACTTACTCTATGCAGCTCTGGCTGTTCTTGAGCAGCCTCAAAGGTCCATGACCTGTTATAATTTCTCATTTTCCTGAGGTGAGCATTTGAAAAGCATTTGATGAAGCAGTGGTGGGTGAGAGTGATTTACTTAGGTAAGGAATGTCTCCCACTTACAGTTAGTGACATATGTAAATTTGGAAATTCTTAAACTGTCTCTGGAGATTTCTCCACAAATGACAAGGCTTTTAATATATTCCCTTCCTACATTTTATACTTAAGTCCATAATCAGCCTAGTCTTTTTTTTTTTTTTTTAAGATTTTATTTATTTGACAGCGAGAGACACAGCGAGAGAGGGAACACAAGCAGGGGGCGTGGGGGAGGGAGAAGCAGGCTTCCCGCGGAGCAGGGAGCCCGATGCGGGGCTCGATCCCAGGACCCCGGGACCATGACCTGAGCCGAAGGCAGACGCTCAACGACTGAGCCACCCTGGCGCCCCAGTAATCGGCCTAGCCTTGTGTTCTGATCCCAGCTCCACTCCTTGACTTGCCTTTGTGACCATGGGTAAGCCTCTTTCCTTCAGTTCCTGCATTAACAGTAACAACGATGCCGGGCTGGATAACCTCCAAAGGCTTTTTAGGTTCTGATATTTTAGGACTCTATATGGAACACAGATAAGCCTTTTCTTTGATACTCTTCATATACACAGATCATAATGCATTAAAACATAATTACATCATAGTGACTGTACACATACTGGCTTATTCAAGACGTGCACGTGAAACATCGGTCATCATGCTACACTGGATTTTTGAGTAACTTTCGTGTATCCTGTCCTTTTTATGTCCTCTGCTGTCTGCATAGAAGGCTGTGCCTCCTGTCGTCCTACAGAGCAGGTCACAAACCCAAAGACACCTAGTAGTCCTGGTAGTATCTGGAAAAAAACAACAAAAGCCACATTTTCAATTGAACCAGCTGCTTCAATTTAAATTGGCCTTCCTGGCAGCCACAGATGATCAATTTCTATGCAGGCAGCCTGCAGAGCCAGAAGGAGGAGACATGGCAATTTTGTCCTAATTTGATGGAAAAACCTCAAGTCTCACCTTTTCTGTCAGTTGCAAGTGTATAGCTTGCATTTCCACTCCTGCTTTGCTGCTGTATTAAAGATTTGTAGAAGGAGGCCAAAAATGCAGAAGAGAGACCTATAAGAAACTATATTTACAAAATGTGGTTTAAGACAACTGCCTTTGGACGTGTTTTCTCCTCATTTTTATTTGCCCCATAGTTTGGGATATGAGTAATTGTCATAAGGCATTCCAGACATTTCATAGCATTTAAAGTTTAGAGCCTTTTCCCCCCTTATATAACACATCTTTCTAAACAACCTAAAGATGATGCCTACTATAAGTACTTAACTTTTTATTGAATACTTACCGTGTGCCTGACACTGTATTAAATCCTTAACATGTATTATTTCAGTTAACTCTTATTATCAGCTGTAAAAGTAGTGTTACCACCATTTGAAACAGTTGAGGACACCAAGACCCAAAGAGGTTAAGGTGCCCAAGATCACACAGTTAATATGTGGTGGAGCTCTGATTGGGATTCAGCCAGGAGTGCCTGGCCAGACAGCCAGCTCTGTTAACTTCTGTCTGCTTACTGTCTCTCTGAGAGATACAGCATTTTATGTATCTTTACTTACAGATGAACAAGCTGACTAGAGAGGTTGTAACTTGCCAGTAATCATATCATAGATATCTGGTAGTTATAGGACCTGAATTTTGATTATTTGATTTGGAGCTCATGTCCCAGCTGCTTTTTATTTTAAACTGTTTTATTTCATATCTTTTTTTTTTTTTAAGAGATGGTGGAGGGAAGGGCAGAGGGAGAGAGAGAGAGAGAGGATCTTAAGTAGGCTCCACGCCCAGCGCTTGAGCCCAACGTGGGACTTGATCTCACAACCCTGAGATCATGACCTGAGCCAAAATCAAGTCGGATGCTTAACTGACAGAGCCACGCAGGCACCCCTTATTTTTTTTGTATCTTAATAAGATGAACCACTTCACATTCTTTTGGATTAGTCTTGGTATGGGTTATAAATAAATTAAAAGTCTTATTAGGAATGCAAAGAAAAATAAGATGTTAGGTCTGTTCTCAGGGACTAATGGTTGGTTGTAAGGAAAAGACATGTATAGAAGTGCTCCCACTTATTTAGTAAGTGGAGGGAAAACCACTAAATGAGTTCAGGCAATGAGTCATTTAAAGGAGAGAAATATAAATGTGAGCTACAATTTAATGAGAGTTTTGTTGTTTTGGGAAGGGTTGTTAAGTATAGAATTTGATAATAAAAGATCCACAACCCTCTTAAGTGTGATTAGAAAAAAAACTGGGACACCTGGGTGGCTCAGTCAGTTAAAGCGACTGACTCTTGGTTTCGACTCAGGTCATGACTTCATGGTTCTGGTCTCCAGCCTTGCGTCGGGCTCCCTGCTCAGCAGGGAATCTGCTTCCGATTCTCTCTCTCTGCCCCTCCCCCTGCTTGTGCACATACTCTCTCTCTCTCTCTCAAATAAACCTTAAAAAAAAGAATAAAAACAAAACTACAGAATTCTGGAGCCAAGTTTTGTTTTTAGAAGGAACACAGTTCTGAAATGTTTATATATATGAGTGGGGTCATTTAGTATATTTGTGTTTTCTATGCCTTGCTTACATAAAATGTTTATTGAATGAATGAATTTTGGGTCTGATTGTGAAGGTACAGAGGTACTGTGTCATTATGACATAATGTAGTATAAAGGGCTAAAAATGGAACCTTTAAAGAACATCTAGTCTAACCTCTACTTTTTTTAAGGATTTTATTTATTTGACAGAGAGAGAGATAGTGAGAGCAGGAACACAAGCAGGGGGAATGAGAGAGGGAGAAGCAGGCTTCCTGCTGAACATGGAGCCCGATGAGGGGCTGGGTCCCAGGACCCTGGGATCATGACCTGAGACGAAGGCAGACGCTTAACGACTGAGCCACCCAGGCATCCCTCTTGAAACTATTTTGAATCACTGACTTCTTTACAGGTAAAGCGAGGACATGGAGGTTTGGGTTTTTTTCTCAGTTCTATAGACCTTGTGTACCAAGTTTAGATTACAAAGGTTCAGTAGGTTGAACTTAACTTTTGATCATAGTTTTCCCACAGTGCACATCTACCAGAGTTCTTTCCCTCAAAGGCCTGGCTGGAAGCAGTGGCCTTTATCTCTGATGTATAATTTACCTCTCCTTCCTGGTGTTTAAGGCTTGTTGGTCTTGATAAATGCCTGTTTTCTATGCACAGCCTGCAGTTAACATGGGGAGCTCCTGGTGTGGAGCTGCTTAGGAAGCGGTGGGTGATAGTGCCTGTGAAGTGGGCAGGGTGGCTTAATGGCCTCTGCCCACAAGCAACGCATTAACTCACAGAGCTTGTCTAGTCTGAATGAATCTATAAATCTCAGTGCCAGAAGGGGAAACTGATGTGAAAAGGATGCATTGGTATTGTTTCACTGCAGAAAGAGGTCAAACAGGGTCCAGTGGTAGAGAAGGAATTAGAGTCCATCAGTTCCAAATTTGACTCTAGGCTTAGTCATATATAAGCCACGTGACCTTGGATGGGTTCCTTAGTCTGAAGCTCTGTTCTCCTATCTATAAAATGGTGTTAGTAATACTAAAAGCACCTCACAGGGGAATTAAATTCTTCCTGAGATACCTGCATGTCTTATTTATTTTCCTCCTCTTTCAGGTCTTTTCTCAGGTACCAACCTCTCAGTGAGGCTTCCCTAACTATCCCCTTAACAAAATTGTAACCCCTATCCCGGCACTCTCTGTTCCCTTGCCCTGCTTTATTTTTCTGCCATACCACTAATTGACCATATTTTTTGATATTTGTTAATCTTGTTGCTCCCCACACATAATAATAATAAAATACATCAATAAAAGTAACAGCTAGTTCTTATATGTTGGGTACTGTTCTAAGCACTCAAAATACGTTAACTAATTTAATCCTTATAGAAATCCTGTTAGGTGGTAGTACTATTGTCATCCCCATATTATGGATTAAAAAATTGAGGCATGAGGACACTAAATGATTTTCAAAGAACGTGTAGCTGATTAGCAGTCATAATCTAAACCTGAGCTGTCTGGCTTCAGTCCTTACTCTACTACCTCACTAGAACATAAGCTTCTTGAGGACAGGGATGTTTGTCTTTTTATTCGGTGCTCTTTCCTTAGCACCTAGAGGAGTACTTGTAAACCGTGACTATTTGTTAAATGAATGAGTGAATATACTTTGATAATAATGTGAAAAAAAAAGTTAAATGGAGTTATTTTATTTACTGGCCCCTGTTTATCTTCTAGGGTCCTTTTTTTTTTTAAAAGATTTTATTTATTTGACAGAGAGAGACACAGTGAGAGAGGGATCACAAGCAGGGGGAGTGGGAGAAGGAGAAGCCGGCTCCTGGCTGAGCAGGGAGCCCGATGCGGGACTCGATCCCAGGGTCCCAAGATCACG